ACTGATATATATATTTGGGTCATTTTTATTACAGTTTGTTGCTATTCTGAATGATTCTAACAATAGCCTCCTAAGGTGAAGGTACAAGAGCTTCTCTTAGGGTGAGGGTGTGTGTGTGTGTGTGTGTGTGTGTGTGTGTGTGTGTGTTTTGTGTGTAGGAAATATGGAAATTTAACTTCAAAATATGAATTATTATCAGATTGTTTTTTCGTGTGGCTCTGCCAATTTAGATTCCTACAGGCAGGGTAGCAATGTAAAGGCATTCCATTGCTCTACCTTCTCATTAACACATGATACCTTCAGCTTTCTTAATTCCTGCCAAATTACAGGGTATCAAATAATCTCATGGTAGTAGTCTTTATTTGCATTTTTCAAATTTGTAATATAATTATCTAGTTTAGTTATGGTAATAAATATTTACCACCAACAGTTTCAGTAAATTTTTATTTACCATTAATGCAACCTCTACTTTAAAAGTTATTTTATGCATTTCTCCTTTTGGGTCATTAGTATTTCTCTTTTTGAATCTTTACATCTCATGGAATATAAATATTTTATTGGCCATATGTATTGTAAATACTTCTGCTTATAACATTTTCCCTACTTTTTAATGACATATTTTAATGAGCACTGGTTTTCATTTGTAATTTAGCTGAAATTATGAGTATTTTCCTTCAGACTTAAGAGTTTTTTAAGTTTTATCTAGGAAACCCTTACCTTGGGGTCCTAACTTCTAAATGTTTTAAAGTTTTGTTTTCTACACTTACATTTTTAAGCTAACTGAAATGATTTTTACACAAGGTGTGAGGTCTTATTTATTTGCATTGGTATAACCACTGTCGAACCACAGTTGTTGTAAGTCCACTCTCATGTACTGTAATGCCACTTCTGTATTCTCAAGTTTTGGGACCCCCATGTTCTTCTGACAGATATGTCTTTCCCTTGAACCAATAGCACAAACTTTATGCACCTTATTACCTGGTATGACAAGCCCCATCACTTTATTCTTTCAAAGTTTCACCCATTTTGAGTCTTCATTCTTCCATATAAATTTTAAAATAAACGTCAAATTTCACAAAAATCCCCAAAATTTGACTTTGGTCAGAACTGCATTGAATTTATAAATCACTTGCAGAAAACAATATAATTATGAAGTGAAATATTTCTATTGGTAAGCATGGTAGAACTTTTCATTCATTTAGGTAAACTTTAATGGCTATAATCCCACATTTTCTCCACAAAACTGACCTTTCCCCCCAGCCCCCAGGTTTCCTAAGTATCTTTTATTTGCTCTTGTCATTGTAAATGTGGGAGTCATTTACATGTGGGAGTCTCATAAGGATAAGGATTGTTGACTATATATGTCATTAATTTATCCAAGCACCTAAAACAGAGTGTGGTATGTACTAGGCACTTAATAAAACTGATGAAAAAAGTAATAAATATTTGTTGATAGAAGAGAAAAAAACAACTGGTATTAGTATACTGATCTCATATCCAGTTACTTTACTAACCTCCTGTATCAAATCTCACAATCAATGGGTTCTTTCAAGTCTCCTCTGTAGGCAACTCTAGAATTTTAAATAATAATGTTTCTTTTAAGTATTTTAAATGAGTATTTCCTTTACTTATTTTATTGCACTGACCAGAACTTGAGGATTATACTTGAAGTGTTGACGGTGGGTACCTTATGTTTTGCCAATTTTAAAAACAATGCTTTCTATCATTTTACTGCTAAAATGTACTGTCATCAATTAACAAAATTCCCTTATATAATACTTTGCTAAACATTTTGTTTCTTTATGAGTTTTTTAATCATAAAAAAGCTTTGAATTTTTTCAAATGTTTCTTATGCATCTTCTTGAATAATATATTAACATGGTGAATGATACTTAGAGATTCTTCGAATTTGCAAATACTTCCTTTTACTCATTAGATAATCTCACCTTGTCATGATAGCTTACTTTTTATATACCTGCTGGATTTCTTTTGTTAACATTTTATTTAGGACTTTGGCATACATATTCTCAACAAAGAACAGCCTATAATTTTTCCTTTTCTCTTTTTGTCAGGCTTTGACATCAGATTATACTAGATTCACAGACCAATTTAGGGAATATTTCCTCTTTTTCTATTCTCTAAAAGAGATTTTAAAGATTGAAATTATTATTTCTTCAAACATTTGAATATTTGGTAGAATTTGCTGTACTAGTTTTAAAACATGGTCTCCAAATTCTTCAACACTCATTCCATTGAGAGGTGGGTATATGAATCTGAATCTGTGACTCTTTGATAAACAGAGTACAATGAAATAAACTGAAAATAATGATGTACCCATCTCTGAGCCCAGGCCTTAAGAGGCTGGAAGTTTCTACCTGGTGTGCTCATCTGGAGCCTAACCTCTATGATAGTTTGTCAATTTTATTTGTTTTTTCAGAATATCAACTTTTATATTCTTGATCCCATAATTGTATTATTTCCTAGTTCATTAATGTGTATTCTTATTACTTTCCATCTACTTCTTAAAAATCAATTACTCATTTCTGAGTGGTTAACCAGTACTTTTAATCCCTTCTTTTCTAACTAAAAGACATATTTTCCTCTTCTGTTTTGAATGCAAAATTATCTCATTCTTTGATTGTTGGATTTTATATTTGCTTTAAAAATTAATCTTATTAAAATCTTATATGTTTTTACTGATTTTTAATCTGCCTCACCTATTAATAGAGACATGTTAAAATAATCTACTACTATTATAGTGAAACTGTCCATTTGTCTCCCTTGCTATCAAATTTTGTATTGTATATTTTGAAGCTACATACAACTTTAGTACTTTTTCTTAAAGTTTATTTCCCCTAATATTTTATGGCTACCTTAGATTTCATTTGTGAAATAGTCACTTCGTGTATAATTTTCTATCTTTTTGTATCTTTTCTTCTAGTATGCTAAAGTTTAATTTACTCACACTTAATATGGTCACAGATATGGTTGGATTAACTTTTACTATTTGCTATTTATCATCACATTTCAATAACTTTCATATATTTTATTATTATTTTGGTCTTATATTCCTCTTCTCTCTTTATAGTGCTACATAGCTTCAAATTACTTGAGATAAGGTAATTAGCTCACTGAAAACAGGGAAACACTTTTAAAAGATTTTATAATTCACGTATTTTCCTAAAAACTACACCTCATTCACATTCTTTCCCCTTCTCCCTCTCCTTCTAATTGTTTAGCACAATTTACAGGCTGTGCCACAAATTTAATACTCACTTTTATGCTGCTTTGTATTAAACCCTGTGGTTTCAAGTATAATTTGTTTTTCCAAGAGATTATATATTAATAGTATTGTGCTGAACATTGTAGATTAATGCCATCACATGTAAATTAATGTCTGATACAAAACACTTAACAGAGATTCAATATTGATAATTAAGATAACTTAGGTAAAGATAATTTCTGAATATCTTCAGGTTTCTAAGTTTTGAATATCATAATGATCTTTTAAAATAAAATGGTTGAGTCTTAATAAAAGATGTAACTCAAATTGACTATGTCCCTTATAAACTCTTACACCAGTAAGTTAATAAAACCAGTAAGCTGAGACATAATATTGACATATATTCCATGACACTATTTTACAGAGCAAACTGTACTCCCCAAATCACTGAAGTGTAGTTTCTATACTCTAGTTCAGTGAATTAATAAGGTATTTAATGATTTTCCTGGGGGTTACACAAGTAGGGTGGGAAATTTGCACTACTTTGGAAATTCCTTTCTCAGAAGAGTCATTCCTTGATATAATATTTACTGACAAGCTAAAGCCCAATGAATACAAAAATGATAAGTTATTTTATAAGCTATGACTTGACTTTTCATAATAACAATATAGCTCTTTAATACATATATATTTCCACAATGATCCGTAACAGAATTTCAAAACCTCAATTATGAAATAATCTTACTATCTCTTGTTCTTCCTTAATCAGGTTCTTACCGATTTCTAACATCTGTTATACAATCTCTGTCAGACTCTGTATCTTACCTCTTTCACACAGTTTGCTGTCAATAAGTGACTTCCCCCTTCTTCGAAACTCTCTAGGAAGTGTCTATATGCTATGTCATTCAGAATATTTAACTCTGCAATGATTTTTTGTTTTCCATGAGACAGGCTCTCACTCCATTACCTGGGCTGGAGTGCAATAGTTCGACCTTGGCTCATTGCAGCCTCAACCTTCTGGACCCAAATGATCCTTCCACGTCAGCTCCTGAGTAACTATGACTACAGGCATGAGTCACCACATCTGGCTTTTTTTTTTTTTTGGTAGAGACAGGGTCTCACTGTGTTGCCTAGGCTGGTCTCGAACTCCTGGTCTCAAGTGATCCTCTTGCCTTGGCCTCCTGAAATGCTGGGATTATAGGCATGAGCCACTGTGCGCAGCCTGCAATGATCCCTTTATTCAAAGCCTAGTTCAAGAATTTTTCCTTAAATAATCATTTTCTATTAATATGTTTTCCTCTAAATTTATATATACAATTTAAATTCCTTTATTGGCTAAGCAAACCTGAGTAAATTCAAATATTTTGGTAGAACCTCAGTTACCTAATTTATAATATGAGGATAATATTATGTACTTCAGCAGGGAGTTACAGAAAATAAATTCATCATATGTATTAATCTCCATGATAGTTTATAAACTTTGAAATGTTACAATAAATAAAATGCAAAAATTATATATTCTAAAGAAGTCATAATATAGTAATGCAAAAATTTTACATTCTAAAGAAATCATATTTAGTGCATAAACTCACATGTACTATAGAAATAAATGCTTCTGATATATCAAATTCTTCTGCAATATAGTTGAAAGCTCGCCAAAGAGCAACTCCAGCATCATTTGCTCCATCAACTTCATCATTTGTATTAAGAACAAACACAAAACCAATTCTGGAAAAAGAAGATGAATAAGGACTGTTACAATTACCTCTTGAATCACAATAAACCATTATTTAGACACATTATTAGACTATAATATCTAGATGGAGAGAATGTATTAATAGACAGAGAAAAGGAGAATTTTATCAATTCAAAAGTCTGAATGTAATGTCTATTCACCAAAATCCACAGAGCTACTGGATTCCTGCAAAATATCAAACTCTCTCCCTCTGGTGCTAACATTATCAAATGGTCATATTCTTTTGTACAAAAAGGGTAAATATACTCTTTTTTTTTTTTTTTTTGAGACAGAGTGTCGCTCTGTCGCCCAGGCTGGAGTGCAGTGGCACAATCTTGGCTCACTGCAACCTCTGCCTCCC